CACCCCGAGCGGCGCATCCGCACAACCATTGTATCCCAACATACGAAGTCTTGCAAATTCCGGACGACGCTGAACACGAACTAATTGTTATGCCTGCACTGAGAAGGTTTACTTCGCCTCCATTCGATACCTTCGGAGAAGTAGTCGAATGCTTGCGTCAAATATTCCAGGTTTTCCTCCTATTTCTTGGTAGCTCATTTCCCATTGCTGACGACCCATTCCAGGGTATCCAATTCATGCACGCACATCATGTGGCTCATCGGTACGCAGCTCCCACCCTACTAATTTCAATTTTTGCTTGAACCGTCGTCCAGCGATTGTTCGTCCTACAACATTATGATGGACGCAACCAAGCTGTATCCCAACGGATTCCACCCGAGCAGTATCGACGACAATCGAAATTACAAAGGCAAGGCCAGTTACACGATGCGGACTGAGTGCAATCCGAAGTATTATTTGATCGACTTCGGAATCTCCCGCATGTATGATCCCGCCCGCGGGCCTCCTCTCGACTACGCAGTTCTCGGAGGGGACAAAACCTTACCGGAATGCCAGGAAGACAACCGTAACAAGTTACACGATCCTTTCCCCACCGACATCTACTACCTTGGTAACATGGTCAGACGGGAATTCATCAAGGTACGTGTATTTAACCTATCGTCAATTTTTTTTTTCCCATTCAGGGTGTGTTACCAGGGCTCGCGTTTTACTGAGGGCTACTCCGGCTTTGGATTCATAGAACCACTAATCGCAGACATGACAGCCAAAGAACCATCCACTCGCCTGACGATCGACGAAGTTGTCGTGCGGTTCGACCAGATTAGACGCTCCTTGAATGCTTGGAAATTACGCTCCCGTCCCATTCCTCTCAAAGAATTTCGCCTAGTTACTTTGTTTCGAGCTATTCCACACTGGCTTCGTCGGATTAGCTATATCCTGCGCGGCATTCCGCCCGTCCCTGTCCCATGACTCATCATATATTCCTGGAGTACCCGGATGTACTGATCCTACAGTCTCTCTTTCGATAGAGGCTGGTAAAAGTGAAATTTGATCAAGTGTGAATTGGTGTGAATCGTGGTCACGTTCGGGAAGTTTCGGGAGTAACCAATTGCAACACCTCAAGAATCAACCAGCATGAGCGTCGACTAGCGTCAACTACCTTTCAATAACGCGATTCCTACCACGTGTCGCGGAGATTATTTCCTGGCCCTCTTATTAAATGCCTCTTGAATTCCACGTGGGAAACATGCCTCACGCGCCAGGCCCCAACGAGTCGCTCACATCCTTGTTCAATGTCTGCAGACACGTTCGCAAACTCAGTGCCGCATTCTCTTCTAAGCGACGAGATTGAATGGCGCGAACTTCAACCGTGGTTGGAAACATGTGGCTACATGCTACGCCCTCGTTATCGTCCAGGTTGGACGCCTTCCTGGATCGCTAAATTGACCTCCCCTCTTTTGGTCGAAGACGGCATGTTTTCAATGGTATGTTTCTACACACTTGACTCGTCAAAAGTCTGAACCAACAAGTTTTGGGTTGTCATGGATGCCATACGAACAGAAGATGGAGTTCCAGTCATATTAAAGAAAATCGAGAAGGCAGCTGTGTCTCTTCGTACAAATGAAACAGCAATTGGTCTTTACTTCTCTACCCCTCCACGGGCGGCCCATCCTCGCAACCACTGCATCCCGACATATGAAGTTTTGCAAATTCCCAACGACGCTGAACACGAAATAATTGTGATGCCTGCGCTGAGACAGTTTACTTCCCCTCCATTCGATACCTTTGGAGAAGTCATCGAATGCCTACGTCAGATATTCCAGGTATACACATCCCTTGGTGGCCCAATCTAGATTGCTGACGGTCCTGCAAGGGTATCCAATTTATGCACACATCATGTGGCTCATCGGTGCGCTGCTCCCACGACGACCGCAGCTGGTAGGATCAATCCTATTCATAGGTTGGTAGGCACATAGGATTGATCGAAGCCTATGGCCTACATCCACTGTACTACCGACTACTCTACCTAATCCTATCCTATCCTACTTAATCCTAGCTATTGTAAGTACCTCGTGTGCTACCAGTGTACTACGCTCCCATTCACTGCAAATGGGACGGGATAAGTAAGAAAGGATGAGATGCGATAAGTGATGGGATAGGATAGGAGATGGGAGGAGGGCCGGGCCGGGACGGGATAGACAATAGGATAGGATAGGAAGGGATGGGATAGGCGATAGGATAGGATAAGAAGGGACGGGATAGGCGATAGGATAGGATAGGAAGGGATGGGATAATAAAATAGGATATAGGATGGGATGGGATCGGACAAATGATAAATAAAGACATTGCGTGCCACTGACCAAACACCACTCACCGCAATCATCGAGATAGTTTCTGGCCCTGATACCGACAAGACGTGGCACAGAATCCTCCCGGTTGAAAGGTGACAGCAAGTAGATCTGGGGGTAGAGACCTCGCAAAAGGTGTGCCACTGGATTCAGTTGGACTTGAAACTTGAGAACTTGTGTTGCACTCGAATACGTCAAAGATGGACACATAGTACAGCAACAAAGTTTCGCGAGTTTGAGGGAACATTGTTGAGGGGATATTGAGCAGGGTGGCGAGGACGAGGTGGTGGTCGAAAGAGAAAGATGTTGTATTTGTTCTGGTTTGTTCGATGATGGCTGCACCCGGCCCGGGCGGTACCGAATTTGAACTATCCGCAAACAATACGCAAACAAAGGAACAAAAAAAGAGAACAAGAAGCTCGGAGTCAAAGCTTTGGTCAAAGCACATTTCTTTGTCCCCCCGTCTCTTTTGTTCGCCATTTCTCTTATTATCTACTTTTCCCTCACCACCTATTGCCCACACACTGCTTGTTGAACCTCTGCTCAGAGGTTGAGCTTAACGAAACAGTAGACTGAGATCATTTGGGGTTGAGTAGTGCCCCAAGCCCTGGGCACATTGAATGTAAGCCACTTGTGCCACCACCTCGCTCATAACCACTACTACTAATTCTAGACTGCAACCGAGAGCCCACTAAAGATTTGCCAATCCAGTCAAAATCCAGTGCTGTGTCCAGATCTCAGGGATGATGTAGATAGGATAGAATGCGATGAGATAGGATTTGGTGGATGGATCAGATTCGATAGGATACCGTCGGGCGTCCCAGGAAACAATAGGATAGGATGGGATTGTTTGGCGGGCGCTTTTTGCGTTGAAAGGAGTCTACTGGGATGGGATATGATTCATAGGATACAAATGCCGACGACAAGTAATAGGATAGGATAGGATAGGATAACGGTTCAATGAGGTTCAGCGAGGGTGTGAGCCCTAGGCTCGGATCGATCCTAAGTGCCTACCGAAGGAAGGGTAGGATCGATCCTAATGGCTGCAGCCATTGGCTCCCACTATGCTTATCTTAATTCTTCGCTTGAACCGTCGTCCAGTGATTGTTCATCCTTGAACATCATGATGGATGCAACTCAAATGTACCCCAATGGATTCCACCCACTCAACATCGAGAAAAATCGAAACTACAGGGGTAAAGCGAGATACACCACGCGAACAGCATGCAACCCAAAGTATTATCTCATTGACTTTGGAATCTCCGGGATGTATAATCCCACCGACGGGCCGCCTCTTGACTACGGAATTCACGGAGCGGACAGGACGTTGCCAGAATTCCAAGGAGTTGACTGCCACAACGAGATGCACAACCCTTTCCCTACCGATGTCTATTACCTCGGCAACATGATTAAACGGGAATTCATCGAGGTATGTGCACGTGTGCCTCCGAGTCGTAGCCCGAGACATAAACTGAAGACCGTCACATTAGGGCTGGGATGGCCACCCAGAGGGGTATCGCGGCTTCGAATTCATGCAACCGCTGGTCCAAGACATGGTTGCGGACGATCCAACCAAACGCCCGACGATAGATGAGGTGGTGGTGCGGTTTGATAGAATCAGGCGCTCCTTAAGCACAAGGAAATTGCGCTCACGCCCCATTCCCCGGAAAGAAATACACCTGGCCACTCTGTTTCAAGCCATTCCCCACTGGTTTCGTCGGATTGGGTATGTTCTCCGCGGAACTCCAGCTGTACCCATTCCGTGACGTTTCCTTGTAATGCTCTGACTATTGATATACGCCCACTGTCATTTGGATCTCATCCACATACATACCTTCGAATCTATTCGACTTTTCTCTGATAGTCTGTTGAACTCTGAAGGAAAGTTAGTATAGCTTGGCGGAAGGGTATCTCCCGCGGGCGGTGGACAGCTGAGAAGAGACTGGACAGTCCGTCGATGTGCCAGATGAAGGCAAATCAAAGTCAATCTCCCACATTCCGAGAACGGAGTCGATGCGGGCGGAAAAGCTAACCAAGAAAATTAAGTTGGATGGTGCACTTAATTTTCGTTGGCCGGCGATGATGTATCGCATTTGCTTGTCAGTGTGTTTCGCTGTGTCTTCTCCCCTCTTTCTTTTCCCCCAAAACACACACCCTCAGGGAGGACACAAGGCGAGATTTAGGAGGTATCAGGACCGTATCACTACCTACTCGTCCTCAAACAATCCGAAAGTATTTTCTAGTCTGCGATATCAGTCTGCAGGAGGAGCTCGGTGGCATGTGGCAGAGATGGTGGAGGTCGTAATAGCAGACTAGTCCTTCCGATTTGGAAGCCGTCGCGATCCACTGTCAAAACAAGGCACAAACCAAATCAAGGTCGCACTTTGATGGAGGTTTCCCACGGTTGAATTTTGCCAAGTTATGATCATGCACTTGGACCACTGAATTTTATTACTATTAGAGACAAGACAAATGATGCTGGGACTCAAAAATCAACATCCAAACACTTTGGGCGAAATTCAAATTGGATACAACCAAGTATTATCCTTCTGTCGAGGGAATTTAAAATGTAAAAGCCTCCGGAAAGGTATCTTGGAATGCTTCAGGTCGTTCATGAAAGGGTGTATATAGCATGGTAAGTAGATGGAGGAAGCTCCTGTGGATCAGTTGGTAGATCGTCCTCTTCTGTTGTGCAGACGGCTAGACATTCAGAAGAAGATGTGGGTTCGAATCCCAGGGGCATAACTGTTCTGTCTTCTCTTTTTCTTCCTTGGCTTGTTCTCCAACTTCGCTCAATTTTTTTCGGGGTCGGGAGGAGCAAGTGTAAGATGACCAATCTCAACAGATTGTGCTGAACAGCAAAATGAAAGCTGGCCGCGGGAGAGCTGTTGTGATGATTATTCTTTTGTGAGGATGCACTTTGTCCGGTTCAAGTCGTCTCCTGAATGGCGTATATAACGAAGGAAGGAAGAGCTGTTTCAGAATGGACTTTACGACAATATCAATTTGAATGTGAGAGGAACTGATTCGATTCGAGCCTCAGAGGAACGTAGATTGTATGGCTTCAGAGGCAGGCGGCTACAATCCGTTACTAACAACATGTGTATGCAGGGGCAGACTGTGCGTAGTTCGAACAGTGGACTCCCGTATTTGGATATACAGTATGAGGGCGGTTTCACCATCAAATCACGAGGGGAGAGAGCTGCAAGGTTGGAAATAAATTCGAGTATGCCGCCGGTATTGAGGAAAGCGAGTCCGAGTCTGTCAGCCGCATGGTTGAGAGTCCATCCGCAACTGCAATGTCGATCGGGTGTTTGCCGCAAGCTACTAGATGCCAGCGGGCGGAGATAAGAGAGGCGGAGTTCGCAAAATAAGCAAGCCGCAGGATTATAATTAGATGAACACACAAGCCGCAGGATTACCCGCTACTTCAGCCAGCCACGGGTTAGTTCCAAACCGGTTGAAAGCTCCTGTCAGCCAACGGCACGGATGAGGTCGCCACTATCGTCAACAGAGACCGATATCGTCATACTACGTCGTTCACTGACCACGACAATGCGTCCAACTTCAAGCGAGATGACGACTCGCAAACAACGTATGGAATAAGAAGGTTGAGCGGATGGGAACGGGGAAGAAGAGGTTGAATTGCTGCTGAATGTAAGCAAGAACGCAAACAGATAGGGCAGAAGCGGGCGTGCAGTGCTTCAGAGGCTTTAGTGGGTTCGCAGATAGCAGAAGTTATTGAGCACGAGGGTCGCGAGACGGGCATAGACGGCGTTGGTGAAGGTGGAAGGTCGTCATTGCCGCTACATACAGCCGCTAAGTCCGAGCTGGGCGGAAGAAGACGGGGAGGTCGGGACGTCATTGTCGTCACAAACGTTGATTTGAGGCCGGAGCGAACCGGAACGCCTCTCACCTCTTCACCACTTTGCTTGTCCTCGACGGCCAGCGACATTCCTCGCTTTGACCGGGCATGAAGCACCCCCGATTCTACACAGCGCTACCGCGGGTCGGCCGGGTCCGCTCCAACTCGGCGTCCTCGCGCGCACTCTCCACCGCGTCCTCCAATATCAATGTCTCCTCCTTCTTCGACGCAATCCACCCCCACCAAACACCCGCAATGGCCCGATACTGATGACGCACCGGCTGCCGATTGAGGGCAAAGGCGAGGTCGAGGCGCCGCACACGGGCCAGAATAACCCCACCCACGCCCCGCGCGCGCTCGCCGCCCCGCACGCCCCGGCGACCCCGCCGCACCCCGCCCCGCTGGCGCTGCTGTTCCCCTACCCGCCTGGCCCGCTGTAATCAACAAATGCCTTCCTCTTCCAGAAAGTCCTCCCAACTCCTTGTGCCGTTTTATTTCGGCAATGATGATGTGACAGTGTCGCCAAAATCTATTCCGATTCCTGAACTTCTAACCCATGTCGCTGCAATGCGGCTGCGTCCTAAGTTAGGCTTCAGAAAGCTGATCACCCACCGCCGCACTGTACACGCGTGCCCATAACCCTCCATCGACCACTTAGGTATGGTATCGTATGGCGAGATAAGGGAGGAAGGGGCCCCGGGGGGGGGAAAGGCGGAGTGAGTTGGTATAGTAAGGTAGAACAGAGTATTTGGCGATTGGGTTAGAGAATATCAGGATGGGTATCAAAATAATCAATCGGGCTCAGGTGCGAGGACAGTATCTCGGTAGGCTGGGAGACGGTCGGTTGCATGCATGTAGCGCAAGAGGTGTCGGATACCTTTCTCATTGCTGAGAAGGTATTCAATGGAGTTGGCCTTGCGGCCGAGGACGGTGCGGAGGAAGGTGTGGTGATGTGAGAAGGGAGCAGAAGAATATGAAGTGGGACACATCTTCGCGGCAGTTGCAAGTGGGGCAGAGGGGGGATTCGAAGCGATGGGCTTTATATAGCCATGCGTTGAGTCCCACCATACCAGTGCGAAGCTGCACGATGAGACTAGAGTTGCAGCGTGAAAGGTTAAGCAGTGGTTTGTGGATGGAGTTTACTGATGCGGATTTGTCGAGGCAAATATATTTCTCGTATCGTGGAGATTCCTTCCATGCAGTTGACCATAGGGTAGATGTGCGTGCTTGAAAGGCGGCTTTAGCGGCAGCAGAGCTGGGGGGTAAAGTGGAATGGAATAGTGATGGCATGCGAAGCGAGTACGGGGCATTAGCATTTTGGGCCGCAGACTTTGCTTCCTTATCGACATGTTCATTCGGCTCGAAATCAACATGGCCGACCCAGCGTATAAAATACTTCCGTGCCGGTGCCGCATGCGAGATCTTCAGGATCTCCCCCAGGGATCAGACTAAGTCTCCCCTCCAATGGCCGGCTCTCCCACAGAAGTTGCAAAGGTGGGCTTATTGAGACTGCCATATTCGAATCACCCCGCCTGACCGCGACCAGATAAAGCGTGCAATTCTCGATATCATGCATCTGCTGAACCTCGATCCTTTAGCCCTGGTTCCGTTCGAAGAGACGCCCACATTCGAACCATTTTTGCGCGAATGCATCGACGAGGCCCGGAGGCGGAATTATCTCTCCGACCAGCCGCAGCCGATCCGGGAAAGCCATGTACGCATCGGCGCCGCCGTCGGGCACTATGCCTGGCTCCGTCCAGGGATTGTCGGTCGCAAAATTGCGGTTCTCTCGTCCCTCCTTATGGGCCTCTATTACTGCGTCGACGACTGCTGCTTTGCGCCCCGCGCGATAGCAGAATACGGCTCGCGGCTGATTTCAGGTCGCCCGCAATTGGAGAAAGGACTGGATGACCTGACTGCGTTAAATTCTGAACTAGCGGGTATGTACGACCCCGTCATCGGCGATCTGCTGCGCATGTCGCACCAGGCGTATATCATGGGCAACCACCTCGAGGCAGAGATGTGCGGCAATGGAACGCAGGTTAGTGTACCGGCGTCCCTTGTGATACAAAAGCCTTGAACTCACCTTTCATCGTAGTGGAATGTGAGCAGGGACGCGCCACTTTTCCCGGACGTCATGAAGACAATCACGTCCGCGGCGACGGCGCTGTACCTCCTCTCGTTTCCTCCATCGACACAGTTCACAAGCTACCTGCAAGCCCTCCCCGATGGAATCACGGTCCACATTAACACCGCGTACAGTGCATCTCGGCGATCTCGGGCACCCCGCTGACTCTCATTTTCCTTACCTCCAGAGATATCATGTCGTACTACAAAGAGGCGCTGGAAGGCGAGTTCAACCGCGTGGAGCAGGCCGCGCAGCTAGAAGATGCGACTGGTCCCGATGTGCTGGGAGAGCTCGTCAAGTCCACGACTGCAAGCCACGAGCGCATCGTGCGACTGCTCTCCGCCTCGGATCCTACGGGTCAATTGGTGTCGTGCCACGAACAAGCCATTGCTGGTTTTGTGACGTTTCAAGCTTTGCATCCGCGATATAAGCTTAGAGATTTCAGCATTTTTTCGTTCCAGTAGATATAAAGAGCAGTTCAACTTCCTGATCGACGCACTGCCACTTGTTTGCGATCCAACCGTTTTGGGGAAAAGTACGAACAAAGAATAGTAGAACATGTATAAAACAGTTCTTTTTTACATGTGCGGGCGCACGCAGCCACCATCGTGCAGGACGCTGTGGGAAGGCACATCTCCAGCGAATGGCATCTGCAGCGCCGTCGTTCCGGGCTGCCAGACGGAGCTAGGGAAATAAAAGTGAGCGGCATTTGGCAAATACGTAGGCATGAACGCACTTGTGACCTCGCGCGCTGACAGCAGCGGTGTCGACTGCAATGAGGATATCTCCAGCCAACAAAGTATAATTTCCACTAAGAGTTGAATCCTCTGGATCTGCCGAGGGGAACGAAAGCTCTCCCTGGCCGGTCATGATAAAGACATATCTATGCAATTTTTAGGCATCAGACCCATGATTGGATCGAGTGACGCACTGAGGAGCGGGAGCATTATGGAGGCCGGCGTTGGTGAACTGAGTGAAGAGCGAGTAGCTGCTATTGCTGGTCGCTCCTAAATGCGTGTAGGATAGCGCGCCGACTGTTCCTATCGCGGTGCTTTCCACGAGCTCAGGAGTCATGGCCCAGCATCTAGAAAAATACACCGTTTCAGACTCGGAGCATCGTATGAGGAGAGAAAACTTACTCCAGTGCGGAGAGGTTATTCTTCCCGACCAGCGCCGTGACGGTAAGGTTTTGTGGTAGCGCGGATGCCGTGTGAGCGAACACCAGCAGCCCAGATGCCAAAGTCCAGAGGAGTGTGGCAAGCATTTTGCGACTTGACCGACTTTCCCCACCTTTGTACGCTGAGAGCATGTGCTGGATCACCTTTTTTACCCCCTCTGGGTCGCCGATCCGGCGCGGCTCCGGGCGAGTTGCCACGCGTGTGTGACAACTGTTTGACACTGCCGTGTAATCCTACCTACCTACCTACCAGGCCTCCAGGAGCCTCGGTCCGAAAGTCCACAACATTTCAGATCTTGCTAAAAATGGCGAGATTGTCTGGTAAGCTTGCTTTGTCCACCGCATGTTCCTCAATGGGACCGCAGGCGCAGCAGTAATGCACTCTCCGCCTCCTTCCGGAAAAACACAGAATGGATGACCAATCACACTAGCCAGAGACTGAGTCTAGAATTGAGGACCTGAGACGGCCAACTGGTGGCACTACAGTATACAAGCCATGGTTGAAATACACAGAGGTGCGTAACGACGGCACTCAACTCAGTAATAAGTATTGCAGACAGCACCCAAACTTC